ACACATTGTTTCTGAATTCCTTCTTGTGTTTCAAAACTGGGGTGTTTTTCAAATTAGGCCCTAGTCGAGTTGTTTAATTTGACCTTTTTTTTTTTTAACTTTTAAATAGGTATTTATAGGGTTCAGAATCCAAAAGAAAAAAGCATCCAGACGAAGCTTCCCTCCCACCCCTGTCCACAGCCACTTACTCTGTTTCTCCAGGGGCAGCCCTGGCTATCCTTCCAAAGATATTTTACCCATATCCAAGAAAACAAGTTTCTGTGTTCTTTTATCTTCCTTTCCCACACAAATGGTAGTATACACTCCACTCCACATTGCACCTTGCTTTTCTCACTTAACACTACCCTTGAAGGTCAGTCCATGTCCACACCTCTTTCTTTGTGATAAACATCTGGTTTCCCAACAAATGGCTATATCACACTTGACTTAATTAATCCCCTACTAGTGGACAGTTGAGCTGTTTCTAATCTTTTGCCGTAAACAACAGCTAGCTTGTATTGAGTGTCATGCTTCGTTCTATGTGCCACTTGTAGTTTACTTAATCCTTAATGTAATTTGTTAAAATTTTTAATAATATATTATTAAAAATTTATATATTATTAAAATTTTTATTATAAATTTTCTATAAATCCTTAATGTAATTTACTTAAGTGCTGCAAAAAAAACCCACCACCTTTTCATATACCTGATTTTACACAAGGGGATAAACTCCTACAAATAGAATCTCTAGATCCGAGGGTATGTGCATTTAATTTTGCAGGTATGTGCAGGAATAATGGATGTGCCAATTTATATTCCTGCCAGCACTGCTGAGAACATGCGTGCCTGCTCCCGCCATGTACTATCAAACTTTTTGATATTTGCCAGTCTGACAGGTGAGAAACACGTGTTTCAGTATAGCTTTAGTTTCTACTTCTCTGGCAAGTGAAGCTACATATCCTTTTGTAAGCTTAAGAACAACTTTTATGTCCTTTTCTATAAAATATTATAGTGTCTTCTCATTTTTATATTGAGTTGTCTTTTACATAATGATTCCTAGGTCCTCTCTATATAGTAGGGAAATTAGACATTATCTATGATATGCAATGAAAATGTTCTCATGACTTTGCTTAGTAAGTTTTTTGCCATGCAGAATCTTAAGTTTTTATGTAGTTGAGTTTATTAATATTTTTTGGCTTCTGGTTCTTAGAAAGCCTGATTATAAAAAAAGATTTCCCATGGTTTCTAGTGTTCTATGGTCTTATTTTTTTTTTTACATTTAAAACTTTGATCCACTTGGAATTTACCCTAGTAGAATTTTGGAATTTTACAGAGAGTGAGGAATAAATTCAATTTTTTTCCCTAGATGGATACCCGCTTTTACCAACATTTATTGACTACAGTATCTTCTACAAATCAGGGATGCCACATTTTATCGTAAGTGTAATTCTCATCGTAACAGAGAATAAGATGTTGAGTATTATTTAGTGATGCCAAATTTGGATGTGCTATTCCCAATAACCAAGCTTACTAAGAAAATAAGTATAGAGCTTATTATTTTCTTTTCTTTTTTTTAATTTGGTAGCATTAATGTACAATTACTTGAACAACATTATAGACTCCCCTCATTATCAAGTCCCCCCCACATACCCCATTACAGTCACTGTCCATCAACGTCGTAAGATGCTATAGAATCATTACTTGTCTTCTCTGTATATACTGCCTTTCCCGTGCCGCCCCCCACCTACATTATGTGTGCTAATCGTAATGTCCCATTTTCCCCCTTATCCCTCCCCACCCATCCTCCCCTGTCCCTTACCCTTTGGTAACTGTTAGTCCATTCTTGGGTTCTGTGACTCTGCTGCTGTTTTGTTCCTTCAGTTTTTGCTTTGTTCTTATACTCCACAGATAAGTGAAATCATTTGATACTTGTCTTCCTCCACCTGACTTATTTCACTGAGCATAATACCCTCTAGCTCCATCCATGTTGTTGCAAATGGTAGGATTTGTTTACTTCTTATGGCTGAATAATATTCCATTGTTTATATGTACCACATCTTTATCCATTCATCTAGTGATGGACACTTAGGTTGCTTCCATTTCTTGGCTATTATAAATAGTGCTGCAATAAACAAAGGAGTGCATGTGTCTTTTTCAAACTGGGCTCCTGCATTCTTAGGGTAAATTCCTAGGAGTGAAATTCCTGGGTCAAATGGTATTTCTATTTTGAGCTTTTTGAGGAACCTCCATACTGCTTTCCACAATGGTTGAACAAATTTACATTCCCACCAGCAGTGTAGGAGGGTTCCCTTTCTCCACATCCTCGCCAGCATTTGTTGTTTGCCTTTTGGATGTTGGCCATCCTAACTGGTGTGAGGTGATATCTCATTGTGGTTTTAATTTGCATTTCTCTGATGATTAGCGATGTGTAGCATCTTTTCACGTGCCTGTTGGCCATCTGAATTTCTTCTTTGGAGAAGTCTGTTCAGCTCCTCTGCCCTTTTTTTAATTGGTTTATTTGCTTTTGTTTGTTGAGGTGCATGAGCTCTTTATATCATTTGGGTGTCAACCCCTTATCAGATATGTCATTTATGAATATATTCTCCCATACTGTAGGATGTCTTTTTGTTCTACTGATGGTATCCTTTGCTGTACAGAAGGTTTTTAGTTTGATATAGTCCCACTTGCTCATTTTTGCTTTTGTTTCCCTTGCCCGGGGAGATACGTTCATAAAGAAGTTGCTCATGTTTATGTCCAAGAGATTTTTGCCTATATTTTTTTCTAAGAGTTTTATGGTTTCATGACTTACATTCAGGTCTTTGATCCATTTTGAGTTTACTTTTGTGTACAGGGTTAGACAGTAATCCAGTTTCCTTCTCTTACATATAGCTGTCCAGTTTTGTCAACACTTATTATTTTCTATTGAAAAAAATAACATACGAAACTTCTGAAAGCACATTATCCAAATAGAAATGTGTATGGCTCTTAACAAAAGGAAGAAATAAATGACAAATAAAAACTCAGAATTATTTAATCAAATGCCTTTCAGAGTAATATTTTATTTTGTTGGAATAGTTTGGTATAGTGGGGAAAATACTGGACTAGGAGGCAGGAGGGCTGCTGACATTTTTTGTCTAGCCTGGTCTCTTCCTAATTTAATAACAACAAAAAACACTTAGAATATTGCCTGGCCTACAGTAAATGCTAAAAGCTTTACAAATATTAATTCAGTATATGTAATTAATAAAAAGTTTCTAATCTGTTATGAATTATATAAATGTTAAACAAAACAACCCAACACTGTTAGGAGCTACATGCCTACTATAAAGTATATGGATAGAAAGCAGAATGATGACCTGGGACAGCCTGTGGTACCACCTTCCAAACACTCCCTACCTCCACGTTTCTGTGCCTTTGCTTATGCTGTTCCCTAGATCTGAATGCCTTACCTACCTTTGTCCCCCCTCCGCCCCCGCAACACACAAGTGTGTACACGTCTTTTCTCTAAGGACTACCTCAAATGTCATTTCCTGGCCTCTCTTCCATGCAGAATTCACAGTCTTCTGATTTCCTAGCACCTTGTATACAATGTTTTGCATTATACTAGAGGTAGCTGAAATGTTTATTTTGTTTGATCACTTTGAGTTAAACTTCTTGAGGGCAGGGCCTCTGCATTATTTATCTTTGTATCTCTGCGTAACTCCTGACATAGTCCCTGGGCTATAATAGGCATTCAGCTGAAATGAAAGAATGAAAACTTGCATCCATGATTATATAGTATCCTATCTGATAGCAGTTGGAAAGGCCTCAATCAGAATCAGAGCATGTGAGCTCCGATAGCTGGTAAAATCAAACAGTTTAATCATTTGTTACATTTCTCTTTGAATGTATGAGACCCTGAATGCAAAATATCAAATAGTTTATGGTCTACTTTAAAACTCTGAGCTACAGAGTGAAAACCAGACATTTTCTGTGGTTGGTTGTTTTAGCTGTTGCATTTTATTTAAAAAAAGCCACATTTTCAGTAGTAGCTAAATTAGTGCGTTATTGATTAAAATTAGCTTAAGAAATAACTACAGAAATATTGTACTTATCAGACAGTCAGACTTCTGCCAGCTACAACTATCTGGAACATATTCAAGAACCCCAGAAGGAATCCAGAAAAGTCTCTGAAGTTGGATGAAAACAGCTCTCCAAACGCCTGTGCACTTGATGTAGGAGGGAAGGCGTGGGGCACATGCATGCCACAGCCTACTTACTGACTGAATTTTCGTAGAAAACTCCAAGGACTGCTTGGCAAATCTGGATATTCAGCTTCCTTGCAAGACATTTTTGCTTGCTTTGGGTTTCGGTAGAAAAGAGATAAGAGAACTCTCCCACCCATGCTGGCAGCAGGCACTAACTAAACCATCGTTGAAATGAGTGTAAAAGTGATTCTCATGTTTTTTCCTGTGAATCCATGGAAACTTCCTTTGTTTTATATTTTTTAGTCTTTTTTTTTTGGAGGTATCATTGATAATACAATTTTATATCGGTTTCACATATACAACACTGGTTCAACAGTTACCCTATTATTAAATCCTCACCCCCTAGTAGTATAATTATTGTCAACATAGGAAGATGTTATGTTTTTTAGTCTTTAAGAATTCTGATTGGCTCACATAAAATCAGTTGTGACAATAATTTGTTATACTTTTAAAAAAATCTTGAGGTTTAAAAAGAGTGATGTCCCTTTGATTTCACCTCTGAAATGGGGTGATTTCGGACAACAAGGCTTTATTCCTTTATTCAGGTGTGTATGTAATTAAACAGGTTGAACTCTTGAATGTGACAGAAGCATGTGTTAATTTCTTTGCCTAGCTGGGTGAACACTACATAAGTAAGCCAAGGGGAGAAGCCAAAGGGCATTTTTAAATGATTTGGGGACCTCTTTTAATGCATGCTGAACATGCTTTTTGTGGAGGGACAACACATGAAGACAGGTATCATTCAGTTTTCTTTCTCTCTCCTTCTCTTTCTAGATTGCCAAAATGGTTTGGAGTTTTTAATTGCCTTTAAGAAAAGTCCAAAATAGATTTGAGACTGTAAAATCAGAAGCTGTAGCAAGGGGGATTCAGTGCCAATGCATCAACAAAAAAGACAGCCAGAGTTAGTGGAAGGAAATCTTCCTGTTTTTGTGTTTCCCACGGAGCTAATATTTTATGCAGATGACCAGTCAACACATAAGCAAGTGTTGACCCTGTATAATCCCTATGAGTTTGCCTTAAAGTTCAAAGGTGAGTCTCCTCGGTCTATTCTATGGCTTTTAATTAGTCCCTACTGATATTTTACTTGTGGAAACTAAAACACACACACACACATGTGCTAATGGTCATGTGCCTTTTCTTTCAGTTTTGTGTACTACTCCAAATAAGTATGTTGTCATTGATGCTGCCGGCGCAGTGAAGCCTCAGTGTTGTGTGGATATGTAAGTCAAAATCACTTCCTAGTAATCTGTTTTAAGTGTGTGAACATTTATGTGTGTAACTTGAAAGAGATCTTTCCTTGAAACTGCTCTCACATAGGCATTTAGTATATTTTGAATTTTTGCTGAAAGTTTTAGTTACCAAAATTCTTTTTAAGATGCTTCTAAGAGATTTGACCATATGCTTACTAGTAATTCATTATGTTGGAGCTGATATATGTGTTAGTATTTCCATGAACATTTCCTCATTCTTGTGCTTTTAGTCACAGCTGGGTCATGTATGAAGGTAAAGTTCTAACTTGTTCCTTTACATTTCTCTAGCTGTAATAAGGATTTAGTTTTCTTTGCAACATCCCACTATTATTTGGGAACATTATTTGCTACATTTGGGCAACTAATAATCCTACACTCTGAGGACAATGGTAACGTAAGTCCAGCAGAAATGATTCTGATAATAAGGCTGGAAGTGAATCTGTACTAAGTCCAGCAGAAATGATTCTGATGATAAGGCTGGAAGTTAATCTATACAAATAGGATGCAAGTGTGTAACTGCTCATCTGTAAAAGGTTATCTGAGTGCTTCCTGATAATTTCATTTTACAGTGTCAGATAAATGACTGTTTGTTCAAGCTGTTCATATTTAATTTTCACTTTAGAATTAGTGGTGACCAGATGGGTCCACTGACCAGGCTTTATTTTAAGCTAGCAAGTAAACTGTATATGTTTAAATCTTCTATGAGAAGGAACACTGGCGGTCTTCTCTTTTGAATACATTATCATCTCAAAGCCATAAAATCGTGTATCTTTGAGGGTGTGTTTTTGCACATTTGTTTTGATTTTCATTCAACACACAGTAAGCAAGGACTGTTCCAAAGAAATGTAGACTTTTGCCAAATAAACATGTTACCTTGGATGTAATTATTTTGTGTCCTCTATTAAGAATGAAGTAAAATAAATGGACTTGCAAATAACTCTCATAAAAATGAAAGTGCTTTATATTCTTTTCAGGGAAATACAGAAGTGTATTGTTAGCCTTCTGTTGCATTGGTCATACTGGATTACTTACTTACTCAATTACTTTTACCTGTGTTTATGGACTTCAATTTTAGGTCTAGGGTGAGGTTTCTTACTTGCACAATAAATAAATGGCAGTAGAAATTTGTGAGACTTGTGGGAAAGAAATAATTTCATATATCCTACTTAGTAAATATTGCTGTACACAGATATCCAGGGGGTGAAATGTCATTGCTAAAATGAATTTTCTTTACCTACCATTTTTAAGACTTTTATTCTATGTTTTATATTATGTGTTTTCATCAAAAATTTCAGAATCACCCATTTCTTCCTGTGTTATACTGTGTTTTCTTAAAACATCATTAGCAAATTTCTGTTTGGTTATAGTCAGTTAATATTGCTTTTCGGTATGAAATCTTTTGCTGAATTCTGATTGACAGTCCCCCAGAAACCTAAACAGCATTTGTTGTTGTTTAATGTTTTCAGTGTGATTCGTCATAGAGATGTTCGATCCTGTCACTATGGTGTAATAGACAAATTCCGTCTCCAAGTTTCCGAGCAAAGCCAGAGGAAGGCTTTAGGAAGGAAAGAGGTTATATCTACTCTTCTCCCATCTGCAAAGGAACAACAAAAGGAAGAAGAGGAAAAGAGAATAAAGGAACATTTAACCGAAAGTTTATTTTTTGAGCAGTCGTTTCAACCAGGTAATTTTGAGTTGCTTTTAAAGCCCTTTTGAGGTCTTACACATTTTTAACATTACAATAACCAGCGAGCTAAGAATGATTACTAGAAAAATAATCAGCCACTTTAAACCTAATCAACTAATTCAAAACTGAACCTAGAAGTCAGGTACCTAAAATCGAGCAAGAGGCCCCAGAGCTGGACTTCAAGAAGAGAGAATACGTCTCACTAGATGAGGCTGTGAGAGGGCAAGTGTTGCCATAGCTTTTTAAATATATAGGACCTGTGAATGTAGGCACTATACTCTATAATGCTGGCACAATTTGGCAATTACATACTTTTGTTTCTTTGACTTTCCTATATCCTTTCTCATTTAATTAGTTTGAAGGAGAGAGATTGTGTTTGGCAATAGGCCAAGCTTGGTGTACTGTTCATATTATTTGGGGAAAAAAAATCTCATTAAAGTTGAAGTTAATTAAACTAAGTAGATTATAATATCCCCTGTGGGCTATTAATTGAATCCCTCTCCATTCCTCATTTCCTTCCAGCTTAGATATTCAGAAGTGTTATGATGTATTCTTTCAACATTGACACTATCCTCATATTCAACTCTTTGGATGTCATTCTCCCTCCCTCTTAACTTCTCATTATCTCTCTCCAACCCTATTATAAGAGGAGGAAGATAAAATTTCCATAGAAAACCATGGAAACTTTCTGATAGTGATACATGGACGTGATAGCAGCTGTCCTTGAAATTGCAACATTATATATGAGGAATTAAAAAAGATCCACTTGCCATTACATTAATTCATAGATCCCTATCACTTTATTCATCATAGAATGTTTATTTCAGTAACACAGGGAGTAATGCCACTTTGATTTATGGCAGCCAAGAGTCTTTTTGGTTCATGTAGGATGTGCCCAGATTTTCTAGGCTAGAGACTAGGTAGCAGCTAAGTGGATTGTTTTCTTCTCAGCAACTATTATTGACTGACAGGGCCAGCTTTTCACCATTTGACGTTGAAGAGAACCTCTGTCAAATGTCACTTTGATCTGAGTTCAGTATTGTGAGGTTGACAAATATTTATGAAATGCAAGATTCCCCTTTTACCAAGCCTCTTCTAGAACAAGAAAGGCCATATAATGAGATTTTGTTTTTCGATGTTGACTTCATTTAAAGTGGTCATTGGAACTCATTTTTGTATTTAACAGACCCGTTTGATAACAAGAATAATAAGGGTTAAAAGTTTAGTACATATATATATATATTTTTTCCTTTTCCTTTTAAACTTATTAGAGTTCAGGTAAAAATCATCCTAAAGGGCTAATTACAATGTATATTAATTGGGCATTTTATTCTTATTTTTATAAGGAACCTGTGGTATCTGAAGTATATTAGAGAATTCTTTTAGTTGTAAAATTGGATGAGGCAAATGAATGAGGATAGGTGATACTGGCATAACACGTGATGGTCTCTGGGAAAAGAAAACGTCTCAGCCATCCATGTCAGGAAGGTCAGTGAAGGCAGGCACCTTATTTGTCTTCATTCAGCATGTCCTTGGCACCTAGCACAGTACCCGGCACGGAGTAGTTGCACAAGAAAGGTGTGCGCAGGCTGCACTAGGAAGGCTGGAATTCTCACCTGGCAGTGTCTGTTACCTTGGTTTTCTTTGTCTCACGAGGTTTCCATGGCTGCTGCCACTCTAGAGCAAGGACTGTACCACATTAGAGCCCCATATGCAGTTTTGGCCAACGTGCCCTGTTTCCAGGTTCTTACCCCAATGTTTCTAGGAGTATGGCAGGAAATTGAGTAGCTTTCTTCTAATAGAGTATAATGGTGACTGGTTTAGTCTAAGTTGACAACATATTTTTACTTGTTTATTAAATTAATAGTAAATTATGGGTGGTTTCCGATTTGTAGAAGTCCAAGGGTTTTCAATAAGTTTCTCTGAATTAAAATGTTGAACCACATCAATATTGTTCTTCGGGAGGTTTTGGAATGTCATTATTTTTGCACATCTTTAGCTTTGGAAACATTTTTTATTAGACATAGTACAAGTGCAACAGTGTTGTAAGGCTCTGTGAGTTAGCTGGAAATTGGTCGAAGGCTGGATTAAGAAAGACTTGGATTTTAAAATGAATTGAAAGGCAGTAATAGTGAGACATTTGTTCTGAAGTTTATTGTATAAAAGACATATAGTGGTAACAAATTCAAAAAAGAAAACAGCACCTACAATCCCACACACTTAACAAATCTACTTATATCAGTGTTCCAGACCTTGTCTATGTGTATAAATACAATCATATATTTTCGTATAACAGAAATCTAAATAAGAGAAACCCACAAAGCATAGTTGCACAAAATACCAAAGGCCAGGTTATTAAAAAGGTTTTTAAAAGATACAGCTGAATCTTAGTAGGTTTATTTTAATTACATTACCAATGAACTGCTATATCTATGCAATGTTTGAATCAGAGCCCTCTGGCTTAAGAGAATTACGCTCTTATTGTTTATAATAATAAAAGATTGAAAATGACCTAAATGTCCATCAATTGGGGATTGATTAAATTATGAATATTCATAAGATGGGATATCAGGCAGCCATTTACAAGGATCTGATAGAATGATAGATGGTTATATATTGGCATAGAAATAAATTCAAATATATTTCTAAGAGAAAAAAGTTATAGAACAGTATAAAATGGTCTCATTTATGTAAAAAAATTTTTTCACATGTTCATATTGGCATTTATAAAATCTGAAGGGATCTATACCAAGCTTTTAACAGTGTTGTCTCTGGGAGGACTGGATATCATAGAAACCTTTATGTTTTCTATATCAGTATGACATTTTTTACAATTCTGTAGTATCAGAAAAAAAATGATTTCCATTAGGAACAATTTTAAATATGCAAATAATTTTGAAATTTCTCTAAATACTAAAAATTCCTTGAAATTCTCTCTATTGTGGGTTTGCAGTGAACAGTATAGTTGATGTAAATAATGTTTTCCTTGAAAATTTTGCAACTAATATAAATATGAAGCTACTTCATTTATTGACTAAAATAAGACTTGTTTTTAGGTATTATGCTATTGTTTCCTCACCAGCAAAAATCACTCTAAAATTTGAATTTGTTTTCACCTATCTGGCTCTGATGAGGCTCATTTAAACTTTGTACAACAGCTAAAGTATTAATAATTTAGAAAAGCTGCATTTAATAATAAAAATGAACTGTTATTTCATTAATAAAACACAAGATTGTGTTGCTGTTGGCTATTCATTTTAATGAAAGGAGGGGTAGTGGGAAAAGCCACATGAGAGAAAATGCGGTTACTGGGTTTCTTAAAAATACAGGAATCAATATTTTACACATGTAGCCAGAACTGTAGAATAGCAGGCCTGATTATAAATGTTTCTGAAATTTTATTTTATTGTCGTATGAACACTTAGCATGGGATTGACAGATTTTTGAGTGTACAATACAGTATTCACGATGTTGTGCAGCTCCCTAGGACTCACTCATCTTGCATAATTGGGACTTCATGCCATCGATTTAGCAGCTCGCTTTTCACCCCTGCCCCAGGCCCTGGCAACCACCGTTCTTCTCTCTCTGATTCTATGAGTTTAACTATTTTACATTCCTCATATAGGTGGAATCTTTTGTCCTTCCGTGACTGGTTTATTTTCATTTCGCATAATATTTGCCAGAAATTGTTTCTGCTGCTTTCTTCTTTGTTATAAGTTGGGGGTAGAGCCTAGGGCAAAAATTTTCATGGGCAGCTTTAAAACACTCAAGTTGTACCTTTCTGCTGCCTTAATGTTGTCAAAAATGACAGCAGGATGCTGCAGTTATCAGGACCAAACTTGTCTGGAGACCTACTTAAGATACTCCCAGAAAGTAGTGGAGCTCTAGGTCAGCAGGCTCCAAAATGGAGTACGCACAAATGCGTCGGGGTACCGGAAGAAGGTATCAGAACTTAAGTTTCTATTTTCAGCTCATTCTTTGAAAACTCGCATATTTTATTAAGCACAATAGTACAGTACTCGTGATTTATTAACTTACACAGATGATCCATGCTCAGTTTCTGCTAAGGTGGGGTGGGGGGACAGTGACCGTTCAGTCGGAACTGGCTACCTCACAATGCCATTTCAACATTCCGTCTGCAGTCAGAGGAGTTATGAGCTTGCAGGTAAGTCCCCCTCGAATGGGAATTATGGGGCAAGAGAGTAGTTAGCCAAAACCGGAGTCCTGGTGAGTTGGTGTACAGGGTATATGAACAAACTTTTGTCTTAAGTCGTTTTGAGAAGCGAGCTCAGGGAGTTTTGTCTTTTTACAGAAAACAGAAGTGTCTCCTCAGGACCTAGTTTACTAACTGTCTTCCTGGGAGTGGTGTGTATTGCAGCTCTGATGCTTCCTACACGGGGGGATGTGGAATCGCTGGTGCCTCTCTACCTCCACTTAAGTGTGAATCAAAAATTAGTTGCTGCTTATATCTTAGGTAAGTGTTTTAAAGGTGCTTTTGAGGTGTACGTGTAGGCAACTTTTATGGCTTAGAAGTGCTAGTGGTGGTCTTATGTGTGTATGGGGTGATGTTAGTCATTTAACTTTTTTTTTTTTTAGAAAAACATTGTTTCAAAAGCATGTTGAGGTAAAATGCATTTTAAAATGTGATTTTTGGCTCACATTTAGTTCTTTCCAGCTTATTTAGTGCCTAATGCTGTATTTATTCAGTTATTTTCCTTTTGCTGAATTACAGTGGTATAAAACATGTATGCAATGTAAAATGTATATATTCTATGATACAGTATTTCTATTTCTAGTAATCGACCCTAGGGAAACACTTAGACAAAAGGCAGACTGTGATAAGATGAATGGTGCAGCCTTGTTTAATATTGTGAACATTTCTCTTTAAACCAGTTCCCTTGTTTCCTGTTAAATCGTTCCTTCTGTCCTCGTCATGCTGGCTTGCTGTCTTACGGTTAATTAGTTTAACTGAGCAAACAGTTGTTCACTACCTGCATGTGTCAAGACTAGAGTTCTGGTGGTGACTGACTTTCCTCAGAGGCTCCTCTCACCTCTTCTGAGATGCCAACCCTCTCTCAGTATTCCATGGTGTACTCTCTCTTCTAATTTAAAAATTGTCTTCTAAATTGTTTCCCTACCTTCTGTCTGTGTCTCTTCTCTTCCTATCCACCCCCCCCCCCATTTGTTTCTCCTCCTGTTAGCCATCACTTTGCCATCAGATTGATTTCCAGTCTATTGTAGTTTCACACCACCACTCACTACTAGAAACCCTTCAGTGGTTCCCCATTGTTCATAGAATGAAGTGTAATTCCACAGTTTGGTATTTAAGACTCTCTACACTGTTTGAGCCAGCTCTGAACTAATCTCGTCTAGCCGTTTCCCTAGGTACCTCCTTGATTAAAGCCTGGTAGATGATTTATTGATGCCCAGGAAGCTCATCTGGAGTCCCGGTCCTACCTCCACGCCCTTGCCCTTGCCAGTCCCTGACCTGAAATGCCAGCGCATCTCATTGTGCTTTATCTGTCATGCCCATCTGTTAAGCTAGTTTCAGCATTGCCTTTTGGGGTATCTTTTCTGCTGCCCTAGTCCTACCTGATTATTCTTCTCTCTCCTTCATCTCTCACTTTTTTTTTTTACCACTCATTTAGGACTAAGCATATTCTTACATTATTAAATTTTTATGGTTTTATGTATAGAGTCTCTTCAAAAGAGACAAGACAAGCCGACATACTGTGCCTCTTTCTTCTTTGCGGCCCTAGGACCCTTGGATGCAAATAGGCTTGCAATGTCTTTGTTGAGGAGGTTGACTGGCTTTACTGACACTTAAAAATGCGACTTCTGCTGTCATCAGAGATGATGTGACCAGATAAAGTGGGAAGTATAGTTGATCGTTAAAAAAATAGCTATGGCCAGACATTAATGATTTAATTAAATCTATCCAGCAACTGCCCGTTGCTGTAAATTGGATTTCTTCTGTATAATATCAACCAAATTCAAATCGACTTTGAGTTCTTGGTAGAGTGCCTGTGTATGTGCTGCATTTTATTTGCTCACTGAGGTCTGAACAACTACTTATTGAATGGAAGATATTGTATAATGCAGATCTTGAACTGTTTTCCATTTTTTTTCTTTCAGGTCTTATCACAATGGCTATACTTAGAACATAAGCAAGGAATTCAGTTGACTTCTGAAGTAAATTTATCTTGAAAATATGAATTTGGACTGCTGTATCTCTATTTTACTCCATTAATATGCTACAAACTTTTGAATGACTTACAATAATTGCAACTGTATAATATATATTTTAACTTACTCTGTAATTTCATTCAAAGGACTCCAGCACATTATGTTACAGACAGCAAGGATGCTTCTGAGTGAGACCTAGGGAATTATTTGAAGAAATTCTTTTTATAACTAAACCTATTGTGCAAAAGACTTTAATTAAAACATCTGTTATTTTCTCATCTTTTTTCCTAATTCACTTTGATTGTTAAGGTTGTGTGTCCTTCAAAGTTAAAGGCCTGAAAGAGCAAACTGGCCTGAAAATAAAATGACATTTATTTTTTAGCTGTGAATATCAATGTTACTATGTAAATTATGCCCTGTCCTCTAGCATTATAAACAGTTGCTATGGTGTTTCTAAAATAAGAGCTTTACGGTTCATGTGCGGAGGATAAAAAGAAAAAAAAAGGCAAAAAGTACTGGGGAATCATGCTTATCTGAGGGTTTCGCAGAAGACAGAACATAATTCATCTGGTGAACTACCTATTCTATATTCAATATATATTCTATATATTCTATAGAATAGGTAGTGGTCCAGGCACCTAGCATGTGGGTTTGTTTTAAACCTCAGAGAAGTAGGGTGACCTGTCTGTTTGATCTAAGGACTCTAAAGGAAGTAGAATTTCTTTAATTGGTTCACATGGGCTTTATGTATGGATAGCACTTTGTCAATAGGAGGAAAAATAAATTTATCTTTTCTCTCCAGTCCTTTGCCTGATCATAAGTGACTAGCCCAGACTGGGATTACCTGATGCCAGGTGGTTTGTATGGAGATGATTTTTCACCTTTCAACTTTTAAGCCAAGTATAGAAAATCCTTAATATCTGTGTCTATTTTATATCAGTCACTGAGACATTTTTTAAGTTTCTATTTATATTATTAAAACAACTTTACCAAAAAAAGTCCCTGAAGCACAACTATTGACATTTCTTTATAGCCCCTTCTGATCTTTAACGTATATATGCAGTTTTAACTGTTATTGTCATAGTAACTGATCTTTTGACTTAAGATTTTTATCTAAGAGCACAATGCATTAAGACTTTCTTGAAAATCATCTTTCAGATCTTTGTACAGAATGAACCTATGCCGTGCTACTGTAATATTCTCAAGGAATATACATACATAAACAAAATATGTGAGGTTGGTTTTTGCAGGAAACAGTACTTTGTTTCTATAGTAAAAGATTTTGTGTATACTCTTAGAGAATCATTGTTTAACCATCTGGGGGGGTGCATAAATCATTAAGTGGATCATATCTGTACATTGTGTAATGACTGAAAAAGCACAGAAGTGTAATCTATTTTGAACTTTGTAAAAAACAATTTGTTTAAAGGCCATCCTTGTTTCTCTGTCCATCTCAAGTCTTGTGTGTGTGTGTGTGTGTGTGGTAACACATTGTAAAGAACACAAAATACTTCAAAAAAAATAAAAGAAAATGGAGACCTGAGTTTCACATTGATCTACACATTTTATTTGGGTTACCTTTGAGGGACCAAAAGTTTTAGTCTCCTATTTCCTAAAGCTGTCTCCTATACATGTGACTTAAATAGGAAAAATAAATATGTGATCTAAAAATGTCTTGTTTTAATTTACCAAGGGAGTTGATTTTTTAGAGTTTTGAATAGGTGACAGTCACATGCTTCAAAAGTCAGAAACTACAAAAAGGTGTACAGTAAAAAGTCACTCCTTGCCATACCTGCCCACCGTGTTTCCTGTTCACTCAAGCCCTTTCAAGTGATCAACTTTATTGGCTTAGATACATTTCCATTGTTTATCCAAATATGTAACATATTAGAGGTAACACATTCTATATAGCACACTGCACCTAGCTGTTCTTCACTTCAACGATATCCGGGAGAGCTTTTTATGTCAGTAATTAAGACCATCCTGATTCTTTTTATTACATCTGCATAGTATTTTCTGGTATGGCTTATAGCATAATTCATTTTACCAGTTCCCTCCTGACCAGTTCTACCAGCAATGCATGAGTGCACGTTCTTCCATAGTCTCATCAGCCATGTGTTTTGCCAATCAGATAAGAAATGGTGTCTCAGTGTATTTTTAATTTGTATTAAAAGTGAAGCTGACCATCTTTTCATAGAGCTATTTATTCATATCCTTTGTCCCTCACCCCCTGCTCTCTCCAGTGGGTGGGTGGTTTTTTTCTTATTGACTTGTAGGCATTCATTATATGAGTTGCGAATAGTTCCTTCCAGTTTATACCTTTTCTTTTGACTTTGCTTATGGTGTTTTTACCATGCAAAGCTCACTGTGGGTTGGGTGAATTTATGAATCTTTTAAAGCTTCTGGATTTTGAATCATAGAAAACCCTACCCTGCTCCAAGGCTACAAGTCATAGAAACACGTATATAGGCAAACACCAGTTATAAGACATAATAAATAATCCATTTCCAATAGCAAAGAAAATTAAATTTTAAAAGTCCTAAGTTTAATCTATTTTAAAAGCTGCAAACTCTTCATAAGGGAAACTATAAGACACTCCTGGTGAACACAAAACTAGACTAACAAATGGAAAGACATCTAGGATGTTCTTGGATATATGGTCTTGATACCGTAAAGATTTCCCTCTTTCTAAGTTACATAAATTTAGCATGATTTGAATGAGAATATCAGGTTTATCATTTTTTTTACCTAGACAAATTTATTCTAGAGTTCATATGGAGAAATAGGCATACCTAGGAAAACTCTTCAAGAGAAGATTGAAGAGAGAAAATTTCCCAGAAATTAAAACATTTATATAACTCCAATAATTCCAGTAGTGTGGCATTAGCCCATGAATAGACCACTGGAAAAGCATTGGAAGTATAGAGCCCAAATACATCTAGGAATTTGGTATATGATAGAGGTGTCAAAACGGTGGCAACAAAAAATGTACTGGTCATGTTTTCAAAATGGCATGAAAACTGGACAGCCATCTAGAAAAGAATGAAGTTGAGTTGACGCATTCCACCAGGATAAACTTAAATGGTTCAAACATTTAAATGTAAAAAATGAAACCGTCAAGGTGCTAGACAATAATAGGGGAGAATTAATTTCTTATAATCTTGGAAGGGGTTAATTCTTAATGACTCAGTAGCAGTGTTTCATATCACAGACAAAATTTGCAATTAGCGTCTCCCCTTGGCTGTTTTTCTTCCCAGTTTTGTTAAAGGACTCCCCCCAATGAGTTTCCGAAGTAGATTCTCAGAATCATAGAACAGCTGGATCTTCCCTATTAGAGATTACTGAATTCAACTCACTGAAGTCCTCCCCTTTAATTCACAGCCAGCTGCATTTTGACAGGCTGTAATCATCAAGATCTGGGTGACTAGCAAGCGATCACACCCTGATACCCGGTGTGTCTGCAAGGTCTGGATTTACAGTCCACAGTTGAGTGTGTTGTGGCACGGGGGAAGGGAAATGCACCTCAAATAGCCTTTGATCCAATTCTGTGCGGACCTGTGTGGCACACCACACAAATGCTGCAGGAGTTGAAGGGACCTGAACTGGCTCTTCAAGGGTGGACTTGATTCAAATATTGAGGGTTCACAACTCCCGGGTTCACAAGGAAAGGCAAGAATGAGTGTGCACGAGGCGAGGTGATTTGTTCTGAAATGATTTCCAGAGAGAGCTTGGAGGCTGTGATGTGTGTGCCATTATTTCCTGTCTACCATGAAGAAAACATTTTCCTGCTGTGATTAAAGGAGCTGAACATGGGCTAGTGAGGAAAGAACCAAGCTTGCCAAGGGCTACAGGTATCACTGTGTTTAATTAGGAAAGAGGTAAAGAAGTAGTTGTCATCATGAAAACAAATATGACTCATCCTGAAAGCAGCCGGCAAACAGGAAACAAAGCAAGAGCATGGCAAGAGTTGTAATTATCTGTCATGGCAGGGGTTTCTGCCGCCTTGAAATAGCTAGGCTGGCACAATTCTGCCACCAGGGTTCACATCAAAAGGAGCTGTACAGAGTCAGCATGTAAGGTTTCAGGTTTCTAGAAGGGATTCTGGAAAAGAAAGTCTCCTGGATATTTTCATTCACTGAACAATTAAGTGGAGAGACTTTATAGCAGCTGCTGAGGAGACACCTACAGGGTTTCAACAGGAACACGGAAGTGGAATGCTGAGGTTTCAAATCTTTGCTATTCTGAAAGAGATGGGAGATTTCAAGTAGCCCCTAAAGCCCTGACGTTTTGAGAGAACATGCCTAAAAGGAAGAGTCTAAAACAGACCTAAAGGAAATTGGAGGGGCAAAGGGTGGGGAGTGGGACAGGGACCATGTAACTACACTAGACAATTCAGGTGGAGGCCCCGAAGAGCCTAGCTCTATTATCCCAGTAGCAGAATGTCAAGTTAGTGATTATTTCATTAGGAAAATATTTGCTACACCTCTAATCTGGAAGTGATAAACAAAATACCAAAGCAGAACATTAGTCTCCAGGATTAAATACCAAGCAAAACAAGAAGTTGACCCAGCTATAGGCCGTTGGGATGAGGCCTTGTCCAGTTACCACATCAAAGACCCTTTAAATCAGCCACAGGCAGAAAAAAGAAGAATCAATTAGGAAGGACAGTTGTTTGGAGAGGTTTTATGTGACCCAGAGAACAAAGAAATGCAAATAGACTAAGGTCCAGCTGGCTGTTGCCTTATTTGTTGATTTAGCTTCTCTCTGACATGCCCCTGTCACTTGCTTAATCAAAAGATGTCCAAAAAATTAAAGTGATGCCTACCCTGGGCTATGACAGCTCAGTACCTAATAAAAACTGGGCTCAGTTCAAGGAAGATGATGACGGGGTAAGTTCAGCTCACTAAATGCAGTTTTCAATTAGCTGGGCGATTGATTGCTTTGTGAATCACTGAGTTAACACACAAGATGGGCAGTTCAGGATGTGAACTGAGGTGGGGGAAAGCCCTGATTCAATAAAGTGAAAAGAATAAATGATTTCATGAGAATGTAGACAGATTTTAGTCCACCAAGGCAGAGAAAAACAATGCAAAATCTGTCTTGACGAAATAACGTGCTAGGTGTGCTAATGTTAAGAGAAAAATTATGCTAAATCATGGGAAGAATGGGTAAATTACTTTTGCACAATCAGGGTCACAGGAGGCAAGGTCAGGACTGGACTTATTTGGAGAATTGAAATTAAAGCCCTCTCTGTCTTGTAATGAACATGTTTTTGGAGCCATTCACTATACTATGAAACTATCTGCAGCAGAAGATGACCAGTTCTCTTCTGCTGTTCATAGGCATTTAGGAAACGGTGTTTTCTGTTTGTGGTGTTTTTCTTGATAGCGTCTATTATTTGGAGCAGTGTTGGGTTCACAGCAAAACTGAGCAGAAAGTACAGAGGGTTCCCTTTTACCCGCTGATCCCCCCACTGCCGCATGCACAGCCTTCCCTACTAGCCACTTCCCCCATGGTGCATTTGTTGCAAAGGATGAAGCTACAATGACACATCATCGCCCAAAGTCCATGGTTTACAATGGGGTTCACTCTTGGTGCTGCACATTCTATGGGTTTTGACAAAATGCATAATAACATGTAGCTACCATTACAGTGTCATACAGAATAATTTCACTGCCCTAAATATCTTCTGTTGGGGTTTTCTTTTTAACTTAAACATTTTATTACAGAAAAATGTTCAACATATACAAAAGCAGAAAGAATAGTATAATGAACCCCTCCGATGTACTCATTACCTGAATTTGATATCACCAACTATGGCCAATCTCAACGAGATTTTGCAAAAGCTAAAGATGGCTATAGGCAGACAGGCATTACTTTTGTGGAAAAAGGCTTCTTTGCAGTAATTTTTGGCTGATTGACTTATTTTCGGGTGACCATATGTTAAGCACTAACTGTGCTAGGCACTTCACAAATGATATGTAGACCCTTGCTACTCCAAGTGTGGTTCATGGACCAGCAGCATGGGGCATCACCTGGTTGCTTACTGGCAATGAATTCTCTCCTGCCCCACCCCAGATCTCTGAATCAGGGTCAGCAGTTTAACACAATCCCCAGGTAATCTGTGCGTACATTAAAAGTTAAGAAGTGCTGAGTACCTAGTCCAGGGTATATATACACTTAAAGCAACCTCCTAGGAATCTTGCAACAACACCTCAAGGCAGATATGTCATGCCCAATTTACAGACGAGGTAACAGAAGCTCAAAGATATCATTTTGGCCTTTGCAAGATCTCACAGCTTCAGAATTTATGATTTTACCACTTACAGTGAGACAGGGACCGTGGGTATAGTCTGAGTAGGGTGAGGGCCTCCGGAAAAAGCAAGGCAGGATATTTGCAGTCAGAGCAATGTAACTACATGCATACCAAAACTCCATGTTAAACATTCAGCTCTAGAGTCATTCTTCAGTGAGATCAGTTGGTGTACCCCAGATAAAGAAGAGTAGCACATGTTTATTTTATGCTAATTATTTATAATCATG